GCGCCACGAGGAGCAATAGGCAGCCAAGGCAGGAGCAGCCAGGGCCTACGCGCGGTGCGTTCATGGGCGGCAGCGAGGACACAAACGGTGCTCCGGTGCACTAGGCGAGTCAGCAGCGACGGCAGGCCGGGAAGTGGCGATGGTCGTGGATAGCGCGGTGGCAGGCGGTCAAGGCTCGCAGCACAAGTGTCGTGCGCGCGCGCACACACCCAGGCACAGCACTAGGACGCGGCCAGCGCGGCAGTGCGCTGGCAAGCCAGCAGCGTGCTAGGCCAAGTGGTGACCGCGCCCAACGCCAACTCAAGTGTCGTGCACGCTTTTTAAAGCAGGTAGAAAACTTGTTCGCACAGCTCCAAACGCCAAACGAATTGTTCGATGCGCAAGATGGTACATCAAGCTATCAATCGAAGCCGTGACATCACGCTATTTCCTAAGCCGATCGTTCTACAAAACTGGCCAAAGGTGGCTTCGTCGACCTTCTTTCAAGCCTACGCAAACGGGCGTCGTTCCGAACGGTTTCGCGTCGAATCCCAAATCCGGCCTACTCGATGTACTAACTAGCTATCCTTGTCCGCGACCGCACATATTTCATCGCCGTTAGCCAAACGTTCTATAGCATTTTTATTTCGACAACAATTCGATTAGAATACTAAACAGTATTATATGAAACGTAACCCTTGTCTCATGTTTCGTATGAATGTTTCAAGTGTCGAACATCGATTTACAAGTCATGTTATACACATATGCTCATAATTATGATGCTCATGAAATGTTTAGCAAAACAGTGCAATGTAACACCGAGGGTGTTACACTCTCTTTCAGCCTATTGTGTTTTTCTCGATGGTTCTCTCATTGCTTGGAAGACTAAGAAGCAGACCGCGGTTTCTCGTTCGAGTACAGAGGCTGAGTTGCGAGCTATGGCTCTTGCGACAGCAGAGGTTACTTGGCTACGATGGCTAATTGAGGATTTTGGTGTTTCAGTTTATGTGCCAACTCCTCTCTAGTCTGACAGTACCGGTGCTATCAGCATAGCTCGTGATCTAGTGAAGCATGACCTCACCAAGCATATCAGTGTTGATGCGTCTTACACTCGGGCACAAGTGCAGGGTGATGTCATTACTCTTCGCTATGTGCCTTCGGAGCTTCAGTTGGCTGACTTCTTCACAAAGGCACAGACAAAAGCTTAACATCGTTTCTTTCTCTCCAAACTTAGTTTTCGTGATCCACCCTGAGTTCGAGGGGGTGGGTTAGATATGGATGTATATGTGTCTTTGCTATTTCCTCTTTGTGTAAGGGCTTCTATGCATATATGCCCATGTACATGTTTGGGCTGAAGCCCACCGGAATGCATAGAGTTCATTCACTCCTAACAGGAGGAAGGCGGAGATCAAAACCAACCTCTGCTTCTGAAGGTTGCATATTCATCACAAAACCCTGTAACAATCTGTCTTTAGAGACTACAAAAGCCACAAATAAATTGCACAGTAATGTTGAATTTGATGCATGCCACTATCTGTAACTGGAGAACTTCTCTTAAAATAAAATAAATTGGAGACTTGTTCTTTTACGATTTTACCTTAATGCAGATAACTGATTAAGTGCTGATCTTTTTAGTGTCATGTTTTGGAGTAAATTATGAGTGCCAATTAATTAGTGTTGTAGTCGTTTGGTAAAATAATATTTAGTGAAATACTAAAAGAGAGTAAAGAGAGAGTTACAGTATTCTGAGATGGTGGTGTTCATTAATCATTACTCCATAGGCATGTTTAAGTATAGTTTTCGATCAAATGGGATGATCATAATTGGAAAAAGTATGGGACTTCAACCAGAATTATCCTCGTCCTCGACATGGTTTCCTTTGCCCTTTACTTTTGTTTGTTGGTTTTGGTCTAAGAAACTTCAAAAGATACAATGTGGTAAGCTTGTTCAATTGGTTCATACCCTTGAGCTTGCTTATCAAAATCACATGTAAGACAAATTGACCTCTACCAATTTGATATATGAGTTATATGAGATTCTTTGCACTGCACTGTCAATCCAGGTTTACTTATCCAATTAGTAAAGAAAGCAGGCAAAATCAAACACATTTTGTCATTACAACATTTTCCGCATGTGCCTTATTTGTTGCATGCAATGAACAGATGCAGATCCAATGATACTTGAATAATAAGAGTATAACTAAAAATTGCATGATATTATTTAGTCTTGCAAAGAAGGAAATAGAGGGATGAAAATGGACAATTAGAAAACCAGGGGACCAAAAACAACAAGAATGGTCTAAGGATCAAATAGGATAACGAAGCAGAGGTCAAGAACAATTGCACATTTGTTTGCGGCTAATTTCAATATCATACACTATTAAGGTCTGAAAGGAAGATACTGCCTTCCAAATTGATAATGTCCTAGAAATTGTCTGACAATTATATTCATTTTTGCAAGACCTATTTAACAACTTTATCATGTTTATTATTGTGTAGGTTGTAGAGAGTATTTGCATAACTTTACATCATAGCTTGCATGTTCTCTCTGATCAAGAATGAAAAACATTTTATAGTATAGTAATTTAACCCTATAATATATTATGTTTGAGTAAATTTCACTCGTCATACAACAACTAGCCAAAGGGCGCCTAGCTCAAATGGTTAGGTGATCCAGCGGCATTCCTCAGGTCCTGGGTTCGACCCCCCGTGGGAGTAAATTTTAGGTTGAGGTTAAAAAAATCTCCTCGCCCGTCCCCATAACCAAAGCATTGGGGGCACCAGGCCAATTCTCACTTAGGCGATGGAAAGCCACCGTGTAAGGGTGGAGGCGGAGGTTCGGGGGTTTTCTCGGCCGGGTGAGAAGGTCCATCTTCTTATTTGAAATGTTGCCGGGGGCAGTCTTAACCCCCGGTCAAGTTTTTTTTCATACAACAACTAGGGAAGGCCGGTTATTTATTTGCTTGGTGGTTTTAAGCTATGCAGTTGACCTGTTGTATATCTACAGCACAGCATGACTATAAAATCACTAAGGCTGTGTTTAGTTCTCAAAAACTTTTTCAAAAAGTGCTACAGTAACTATCACATCGAATCTTACGATACGTGCATGGAGCATTAAATGTAGACGAAAAAAAACTAATTGCACAGTTTAGTTGGAAATCGCGAGACGAACGTTTTGAGCCTAATTAGTCTATGATTGAACACTAATTGGTAAATAAAAACAAAAGTGTTACAGTAGTCAAATTCCCAAATTTCACGTGAACTAAACACAGCCTAAGATGTAAAATCACATGTAAATGTTATAAGCCTGGTGTTTGCATGCACAACAACAGAATCCCAGGCAGTTCTGGAAGGGTTTCAATTCGTTATTTATTTTGGTTGTGTAATGGTTGCGGAAACACAGCATTCAGAGCAATGCCAGTTTTGGTGTATGGCAGGTGCAAAACGGCTTGGTCCTTTGTGACCAAGGTTTTTCTTCATGTTCAAGATCGTTTCCTGCTAATTTGTGGTGCCTCTTTTTTTTAAAAAAAAAAAAAGAGGCCTGTATGTGTGTGGGTATGTCTACGAACTAGCAGTCTATGAACTAGCAGAAGGACTGAATTTTTTCTCTCCTATTTACTACAATGATATGCTAGTTCTCCTGGATTCAAGAAAACAAAATCGCATATCAAAATATGTCAAGCCATAGGAAACAATTTACTTTCAGTCTGCAACAGCAATCTCAAACACCAAACAGAAGTACTGAAGTAAACTTTTTGCTTACTAGCCTACTCCAGAAGCCTATAAAGTTAGGCATGGCACTATTTGGTGGAAAGTACAAACACCCTTCACGATGAGCCTCCACACCAGCCTATCCGTGTAAAAGACCCTGAACACATCCGTCGACGACGCCTGCCCCTCGTCGAGCATGAACCCGATGTTGAGGGCGCGGAACTCCTCCGACCGGGAGAACTTGTCGAACCCATCCGCGCCGCCGATCTCCTCGTCGGGGACCAGCGAGATGTGGACGGTGCGGGCGGGCGCGAACCCGGCCGCCTGGAGGCCCCGGATCGCCTCGAGGTACTAGACGGGGAGGCACTTGTCGTCCTGCGCGCCGCGCGCGTAGACGCGGCCCGTGGCCGGGTCGCGGTGCGCGGCGAAGGGCGGGTGCGCCCAGTGCTCGGGCTCCGCGGGCACGGAATCGATGTGGGAGTTGAGGAGCACGGAGGGGAGGGACAGGTCGGAGCCCCGCCAGGTGAGGAGGAGCAGCGGCTTGGTCTTGCACGGGGTGAAGTGGAGCGTGGCGGTGTGGAGACCGAGCGAAGCGGCGTAGGGTAGGAGGAAGGCGGCGGCGCCGGCGTAGTCGGGGGACGGGTGCGCCGTTCGGATGCGGAGGTATTCCTGGAACCGGGCGACCTGGTCGGACTAGAGAGCCGTGAAGGGGTGGGCGAGACGGGGGGAGCCGGAGAGGAGGACGACGAAGGCGAGCAGGAGACAGCGGAGAGGCGGCGGCATCGTGTGGTGGTGGTGGATGCGCTGCGACTGCGAGCTCAGCTTCCGGCGAAGTGTCCCCATTCAAACTGTTTGTTCGGTTTGACTCAGCCTGGCATGAAAAGAGGTCCAAGTTCACTTGTCAAATTCAGTCCTCCAGTGTGCACTAGCCACCACAAACTTTGCAGATATATAAGCAGATGGCACGCGATAAGCGATATCACAATTCTAAATTTCTACACTAATTGTCATTTGATTATTTATAACAACCTGATGCAGGGATATAGAGAGTAAAAATCTCGATTTCAAGTATGGCAGATAATGAAATAATTGCTCAAGTAGCACTGATTATTTGCCACCATCTGCAAGGAAATCAAGATGAAAGGGCGACCTCAATTTCACACAGTATAAGTTGCTAGCCATTTAAGTCATGTATCATGTATCAACAAGCTGTTTTGTCCATCATATGAGTTTCCTTTTGAAATAAATATATTACAAAACTGTCCTCCTAAGGTAGTCAACACGGGAAGTACACACTGATAAAACGTGAATTTAAATGAGCTTCTTCTTCCGGAAGAACCCTTGAAGGTGCCACAACTGCAGCACAGAGACGGCAACGCAGACTCCCAGTGACAGGATGCTGAACCAGGCAACCCTTGAATTTGTTTTCTCGCTCACTGTTCGCATTTCCGCTTCCCTGTATCGATAACATTCAAGAATGCATCAGACCATGCACCACCAGGCAGATAATCTCCCTAACTAGGTTGCAAACTTGCAATAGGATCAATATGACAACGAGTTCCATGCAGTGACTCTTTCTTTTTGCTGAAAAGGAGAGCAGAGAAGTTCATATAAAAAATAAAAAGAGACAGCTTACCTTGCTTTGAGATACAGCAAGTTATGATGGATGGACTCAACTGCAGCTTCAAGTTTCCTAAGCTCTAGTTCTACGCCCTGAACAAGGAATCCAGATCACAAATAGTCAGAAACCAAGAGCAAAGCATTACTGGAGTGACTTCGATTAGATTGTATTTACCACACCTCAATTTTCTCTTTCTTAGCAATAGTATCCCAGTCCTTTGCAGCAATCCCTATCCTCCAATCAAGATTTAGAGATGTTCCTGATCCTTTCTCCACACTGTCTATCCAGAAACATGCAAGGTAGTTTCCAGCTTCTGTAGTTGTGAAAGCAAACTGACCCGTTGTAGCATTTTCATTATGATGTACAGTATTTCCATAGGGTGATGTAACCTAATAAATAAATAAAAAACATTTAGGGGTATTGAGGATATCAAAGGAAAGAAAAAAACTTTGACGCATTCAACAAGCCGCATTGCTTAGATATGTTCAACAAGAATATGGACATGTCCGATGTCTCCATTATTACAAGATAAAATATGCAAGGGAAACCATTCCAAGAAGTCCCTTTCTCAGTGGAATCATGAATACCTACCCACTTAAAAGACATACGTACAAGTTTTGATAAATTCTCCAAAACCCTATACTTATAAATGAGGAGGTGACATGCATGCATATAAAATTTCAAGTTCCAACTCAATTTGTTTATTAGTATCAAATTGACAAATCATAGACAAAGAGCGAAGAAAAAGACAAAAAGGGTACATGTCTGTATGTCTTTTCTTTCTCTGTGATTTGTCAATTTCATTAGTCACAAATGAGGTTGAATTTGATTATAAAAATGTTACATGCGAGCATGTTACTATCTCATCTACATGTATGGAGTTTCTGTGAATTTTTAAAAAACTTCTAATTACGTCTTTTTAGTGGGTCTTCACGATTCCACTGGGAAGAATTGTGCACTGAACATTTTTGCCATATGCAAATATAAACAAAACAGAGACCCCACTCATACATGCTAAAGTTGCTTTCTGAAAAGAGTTAAATGCATGAGAGGTCCTTGAACTGGTAACGGGGTGTCACTTAGGTCCATGAACTTGCAAAATGCATCTTTGGATACCTAAACTTGCTAAATGATACACCGCATGTCCATACTTGCCACGCGGGCATTTTATCTGACGTGGCATTGCCACGTGGCGGGAAAATATGCAGTGAACCCCCTGAAATCTAAATGGAATATCCTGAACAGGTCATCTGGGTTCTGTCCTCTAGGACACGCACGCCACCTGTTCGGCGCAATGCCGCAGAGCGACACGTGTTGCCCACCTCGCCTCTGCGGTGCCTTGCCAAGTGTTGTACATGCCGTGCTCGCCCTGGCCATGTAGAGCTTGCCCGTGACCTCGCCTTCGCCTCCAAAGCCGAGCCAAGTTTGGGGATCTAGATCAATTCGCCGACGGAGGCGTCTTCGGCGTCTTAGGCGGGCGGGCGGACTCGGCTTCGGCGGGCCCCCGCTCGATGTCACCGGCGCACGCGTGGTGTGAGGAGGTGCCGACCACGGCCTGCTTGCCTCTGCTCAGAACGCCGGCGCAGCGACCGCAACCTGGCGGAGACTGGGGACCGCATCTCGTCGGCGGTCCCGGCATCCGGCTCGCCGACAGCGGGGAGTTCATGGGCGGCGTGCTCAGGGCCACGGGCCGTGTCGGGATGTCGATGACCAGGTTCTCCTTCCCTACGCCGAGGCCGAGGAGCTCATGGGCGGTGGCGCTAAGCGGCGGCGGCGGCGGCGGCGAAGGCGTGTGAGCCGGCGTTGGTGACCTCGTCGTGGGTGCCCTAGAAGAGGACGTTGGTAGGGAACACGGGGAACTCTAGCGACGCGCCGGAGGGCTCCTCCCGCGGCAGGGCATCGAGGTCACATGATGACTGACCACATGACGGCGACGACAGCAGCAGGCGGACGACAGGCACTAGGGTGTTACCGGTGAATGACGAGGAGACCGGCCAAACTGTGCAAAGGTGATGTAGGGCGTTAAGGCGATGCTAAAACACGTCTTGGATAGAACAGAGAGAAAAAAATTAGCACCACACTAGAGATTCAGCTCCGGCGGCCATGGCGGCCGATTCCACGAGATTCCAAAATTCGTCACTTACCGAAGATGGTTTGCAACGAGGTCTCGTCCAGGGGCTAGCTAACAACCGGGCACACTCATGTGTGCGAGGGATTGGAATAGGAGGCACTGATGTGGACAAATTTTGAAAGGGCGCATAGGTGGTCGCGGCGCACGCGCGTGCTCTACTTAAATAGTCGGCCATGGCAAACTCGGCTGAGGCACAGATGGGACTCGGGTTGGCTCCTAGGGCACGGCGAGGGCGCCCACTTGCGCGAGGTGATGATGGCGCACGGTCTTGGGACGAGGCGAGGCAGGGCGAGCAGCAACTTGTGCGTGTGGCCATGGCCAAGGCGGGATGAAGGGATTACATCGCGGCTGGATAGCGGACACACAAGCGAGCTCGCGGCTCGCGTCGTGACGACGAAGCGGTGCCCGCCGCCACGCCACTTGCATCCAGACCTTTCGCCACGCCTCTATTCCTTATCCGCCTTGCATGACTGCTTTCTTTGCTCTACCTTGACTGCCTCCGCCACGACTCCTAGGACGTCCACGCCGGGTAGATCGTCCAGCTCGCCGGGTCCTTTCGCCTCCTCGCCTGCTTCGTGCTCCCTTATTTCCTCGCTGCCCTGCTTCGTCCAACACTCATGCATACACGTCTAGCTCCATTTAGATTTTAGGGGGTTCACTGCATATTTCCCGCCACGTGGCGTTGTGGCGTTGCCACGTCAGATAAAATGTTCGCGTGGCAAGTATGGACTTGCGGTGTATCATTTAGCAAGTTTAGGTATCCAGAAATGCATTTTTCAAGTTCATGGACCTAAGTGACATCCTGTGACAAGTTCAAGGGCCTCTCATGCATTTAATTCTTGTGAAAATTAAGGCACTCTAAATCACATCGATCGTTTGTACATTTAAATTCCAATGTGATTCCTACAAAACTAGAATTAGGGGAAAAAAGATCCCCTCTAAGCACACAGAACTTTCCTTACAATGCATTGTGGGATTAACAAAAAAAAAAACTGATCACAGAAATCCAATGCAAGGCTAGCATAGGATAACTAGATAAGACATATGAGCATCAGACTTGTGGTTAATCTGTTATTAAGTTGGCAGATATGGCTACAGAAGTGCTGCTACCTATACTCCACCTTGTCACCTCGATCATCAAATCTTGTCTTCTGAAGATTGTGAAATTCAATATGGATCTGAAGTTTTCTAAAGGAGTTAGCATTTGAGCAGGGTTCACTGTTCAGGGTGGGACTCCAGTCAGTTTTTTTAGTCTAGACTCTAGTAACACTATGCATTAACTCTTCTGATGTGCACAACACTCGGGTATATAAACAATCGCAATAGCAAGCACAATCCAACATCTGTTGCATCTTAGTGTTATGTTCACCCCCTATTGCATTAGGGCTAGTAACTGGTATTATAAGAATTCGACTCCCAAGAGAGAGTGGAAACCCAGCAACAGCACATGCACGTTGCTTGGGAGAGAGCCATCCAGCATAGGAATGCCCAAATTGAAGATTATCCCCATCTGAAGCAATGGTCAGGTGCAGTTTTGACTCATAAATCAATTTCCCTAATGTCTCGAAACCATGAATTAGGTGATACTATGACCAGATTCATGATGAACTGCCGACTTGCAGATTTCCCTTCTCGATAGATTCATATACAAAATTCACTCTGAGCTACTTTAACATGAATTTGTAGCGAAAATATCCCGTATAGGTACTAGAACATGTATAATTCCTCCCTCCCTCCATCTCTCATAAGTGCTAGTTTTGACTCGCAGAAGCTCAATCAGCCAACAATAAAATTGCAGGGCTTAATTCGCACGCAGAGCTAACGCAATCTAGCACCTCAGCTGCGTCCCGATTCGCCTACACCGAGATCCCAGAACGCGCCAGTTCACCGGCCCAGATCGAGATCAAGCGCGAGAATGAACGAGACGAAACCGCACGCCAAGGGCATCCGAGACGGAGTTGTGGGGCGCGTACCTTGACGGCGACGGTGGGGTGCGAGCTGGGGTGGGACTCGTACATGATCGCGTAGTCGGCGAGCACCACGACGTTGGGCTGGATCTCCTCGGAGACGCACTTGGTCCCCGACGGCGGCAGCTCGAGCCACACGGCCTCCGCCGCCGGTAGGAGCAGCACCACCGCCGCCACGGCCAGCAGCAGCGCCGGAAACACCGACGCCGCCATCCCCGCCGGCCGATCTGGAGGCGGGCGTCTCTCTCTCTCTCCCGGTCGCGGTGGAGTCGTGGGAGCTTTGGACTTGCACGACGCGAGACGGCGAGAGAGAGCAATGGCTTGCGGGGTAGGTTGGGAATTTGGGAAGGGGTGGTCGGGATTTTCAATTTCGTGCTTTTCTGGAGGTCTGCACCGTAGACCCGTACACCGTATATCACCCGTAACATGAAGAAATTCCCTTGGCACGCTTTGTGTGACTACCTGGTGATGGGGCCCACGGTCACGGGAGAGAAGCGCTCGGTTCTCGTCGTGAGCCGTGAGCCGTGAGCCGTGAGCCGTGACTCGAGATCGTGAACCGACGTGGGTTGGGAGCATTTGGGCCAGATTATGTGGAATGGAGTAGAATGGGCCCGAAGTACGCTGCAAGGAAGAGTGGAAGACAATCCTCTTTTGCATATTGTGAAAAAAAAATACCTCCCTCAACTTCGACGTAGTTTGATTTTTCCCCTCACATATTATTCTAAAACTTTCAAAACCGATTAATTACCTCCCTGCCGTGGATTCAAGTAGTTTTGGAGATGGTTTGTCTTATTTGTTATAATAAATTTTCATTAAATTCCTTTATAAGATTTTTAAACCATAAAATATCTCTAAGCTTATAAAAAATCCAAGAAAAATTCTAGAGATAGATAGGGACATGACAAACCAAAGTAAGAGCTCATGAAAAATATCTCTAGAATCTTAAAAATAGATTTAGCTCTAGAAAAATAATTTTAAAAAAATCACTAAAACATTATATCGATGTCTAAATATATTTTAAGAAGTTTCCACAATAAAAACATGGAATGACTCTATCATCAATGTAGCATTCATTAAAGATGAATGCATACATTCATGCTATCATTTGTGTCGATCATGTCTTATGCTTTTGTTGCGGAAAGTTTTCAAAATGCATTTAGAAATCAATTACAATATTTTGGTAATTTAATAGATTTTTTTAAAATATCTTTCCCATCTACCTCTAGAGATATTTAGAACATTCTAGAGATATTTTAACTAGCTCTAAATATTTTATTTGTATTTTTATGTTCCAATCTATCTCTAGTTTTTATAATAGTTTTTAGAAGCTTACATATAATTTTTATGGCTTAAAAACCTTAATCGAATATTGACCATTTTTTTTAATAAAAAGTGATAAAATCGTCTTCACAACCACTTCAAACCAAGACAGGGAAGTAATTCTAATTGTTTTGAGAGTTCACTAAGGGTAAGATGTCTGATTTTGGAGTTTGATTAAAAAAAAGTTAAAGTGATTTTTTCATAAAATAGTTTTTTTTCTTTTGACACGGGTCTTTTGTGGGCTCTCGTGTTGCACCGACCTGGCTAATGGGTAAGCCAATCATCGCTTAAAAAATCTGGTAGGTCAATCCCATTCTCTTCCTAAAAGAAAGAAAGCTGCTTGAAGAGGAGAAGAGCGCATGAGCGATCACTGACCAGCCATTCCGATTACGATCACGCTAGTCAGGTGTCCATCTTCGTTTTTTACCAGAGAGCGATCGGCCACTCGGTTCCTTCATCTCATCACAAAATGGATGATGAATATCCAAAAGCCTGGAAAACGAAACAAAAAGTCCAGAGACCAACGCGCGCGACGAACATTTTTTTTGGAAAAAAAAAATAGTACGAACGGGATGGCTGCATGCATGGCTCGGGCGAACAGCCCGGCCCTTCCGAGAGTGACATTGGGCCATGTATGTCTGATGATCCACTCGCCTTTTTTTTCGTTCGTTCATATCTCACCGGCGTAGCATGTGCAAGTAGCAAAGGGCAAGATACGACTGAAAGTACTGTTGATTGATTTGTTATGAGAGAAAAATACTATTCGTTAACTAAAAAAGTATGGCTTATAAGCCAAGCGAAGAGGACGTATGTTTTTTTTCTTTTGGCTGAGGCTGGCAGCTTTTAGCTTTTTTTCTAGAAACGGGTTGGATTTTATAAAGCATGAAGAGATGTTACGTCCAGCCCCTTGCAAAGGAGCTCCCACAACAAGATAAAATTACATTGAAGCCCTTCATAGAAGCTCCTAGAGGTCACCGTTTCAGTCGACCGGAATCGCCGCTGCTCGCCTCTCCTCCATCGCCAGCAACAGACAAAAGTAGCACGGCCACTAACGAACCGTACCGTACAACGATGAACGCACTAACAACATCGTCACGAAGACTGGGATCAGACGCCAATCGCCTCGCTCCATGACCAATCCCAATCGACGGAAGACGAAGACCCCAACACTGAGACAGGAACTCCAACCCAGAGCTAGCGAGAAGGAGGAGCACATATCTCACAAGAACAACTCCAAGACCACCTGAGGTTTTTTGGCAGGGGCAAAATACCGGCGCTATCAACGAAGTCAATAGTCCGGAAAGAAATATTCGACTTCAACCCGGAGTCACCTCTTCCAACGATGAAATCGAAGAACCAAACTCCTTCAATCAGAAGCAACAAAGAAACTAAACAAACCCTACCTAGATCTACTAGAGTAGAAGGAAATATGTACACCGACCACCTCACTCTCTGATACCATGCCCACGGGAGCCAAAGCAGGCGCTGGCGAGGATGGGAGCGCCGCAGGAGATCGGCGCGGGAATTGAATCGCCTCCCGGTCGCCTGCTCTCACCTGTAGCACGGAAGAGTCGAGAAAGACTTTTGTGCTACGTCGTTCCTTTGGTTTTCAGCAGCTTTAGCAAGGTCGTGCGATCCTGCCCGGTGGACATGCATGATGCGTCTGTGCGCACTTTTGCCGCGCAGAAGTGTGCTGGGAACGACTGGACGGCCCGGTCCATGGATGGATCATGTTGAGCGTCAATTGGACAAACCTGGAGTTTCTCGACCTCTCAGGCCATCCTCAGGAGTCAGGAGTCAGGACTCAGGAGAGCTTCAGGACTAACAGGGACGGATCCATAAAAAAAAATATACGGGGGGCTGAAGAAATAGCGCTAGAGCAATAAGTCTATATATGTGATATGGACTAAATTTCATCATTAAAAAATGCAGGGAAACATTAGTCAATATTCTTCAGCAATACTGACAAAATCTAATATCTACATCAAATACAACCTAACTGAAGCTACAGAGAATGAGGCACGAGGGAATTGTATTTATACATGATCATGTTTGCTTGATTTCTTTCTCAATTTCTCCCATATACCAAGAACAAGCGCACAAGGCCTCAAACTGGGAAAAAATTTGTAAGGACCATCCCTACGAAAACACGGTAGGGATGTATGGTTAATATGTGGCCCATGAGGTATCTGATTTATCATCTGCATGCTAAAAATAGTATCATGGCCCACCAACCAGTTGCATAATCCGCACGGCGTTCTGGTAGGGAAGATCCTCGCCGATTTTCCCCCCCTCAAACTCAGCAAGGCAGGCAATGTTCCAGCCTTCCAGGTGCTAGCCGGCTTGCCCCTGGCCGCTGGCTTGGCACCTGCCACTCTGCCAGCTAGGCGTTGGTGCTTGCTGCACGTGCTTGCAACCCTTGGTTGGCCGGTCAGCGGGTCAAGAGTCGGTGGCCATTCGCCAGTCGCGGCGTCGCGCTAGGGTCGGTCGGTCAGCGGGTCAGGTGTCGAAGAGTCGAGGGAAGGGGTGTGCCATGACTTCGATTGACTGGGAGAAGTGGAGGGCCGCCTGGGCCTTCTTGGGCCGCAACCAAGGCGATGTGGGAATGGAAATGAGAAAGGCCCGTTACCACGCTGGCCCAAGTAGCTACTAGAAGGACGTCTTCAACCTCGAAACGGAGGAGTTCGACATCTTCAGCCCCTCCTAATCAACAGAAATGGTGGAAATTTCTTGCAGGGGCTCAGGGGGCTCAAGGGGATCTACAACGGTAGGGGGGCTTGAGCCCCCCTTGCCCTAGTGCTGGATCCATCCCTGCTATGATTCCGAAAGTTTTTGGGTGCAAAAGGAGAAACTTCCAAAATCATGTAACAAAATAATATGGACATGAAAATGGAATAAGGTCATCATGCCTTGATTTAGTATAGGTACATGTTGGAGTAAATTCTAGTCGTATTTCTGAAAAAAAAAATCAAACTCATGTCCACTCAAACATCAGCAGGTTTCTATCATGGGAAACTAGGAACTAGAAAGAGCCCCACTGAAATGTTTTGAGGCTAGATCCGTGAAAGTTCCATGCAAAGGATTGAACCAACTATATTAAATAGAAAAAACATAAAAAATTGTTGCTTAACAGCAGCATATCATCAGCCCCTGCCTCTTTCCCCAACATTAAGAAAACATGCAATAGTGATCAGGCAGAGTCTAAAGAGAACTTGGTAAAGCTTCTACAAAAATAAAAAAATCTGAACAGCAGTATTTTCCCCAAATGGAAGATCATTACCTCATCCTTTTGCTTCTTTAGCATTTCAACCTTCACTAATGAAAAACGATTATTATTCATATGGTAAGTATGTTATTATATTGTACATACAATTTTCGCAGCACCGTGGACCATGCTCTTAACCTTTTGACTTTTTATTTTTCCAAATGAGTGGAATTTCACAGTTGTTTGAGAGAGAGATGGAGAGAGGGAATAGGTTTCATAATTGTTTCAACCAAGCAAGTTACGTCTTTTCTACAACACATAGCTCACAAAAGCTTTTTCGTAGCTCCTAGATGAACCAAATAGACCCTTAATCAAAATCTCATGTAGGACTAAGACTTTAATGCACCATAATATTTAATATGAGCTTTAGGATTTACTGATTAATTGAATAGAAATGGCCAAGCCTTAAAATCAACAAAATAAATTATAGTCTTGTTTACGACACATAGCTCACAACAGCTTTTTTTATAACTTATAGTTGAACAAAATAGACCCTTAATCAAAATCTCATGTAAGACTAAGACTTTAATGCACCTTAATATTTAATATGAACTTTAGGATTTGTTGATTTCAATTGAACAGAAATGAGAAAGCCCTAAAATCAACAAAATCTTTACGGTAGATGTCA